CACCCCGTTGTACCCCAGCCCCCGGCGAGAGCCGGGGCGGTGGGTGCCGCAGCAGCCACACGCCGGCCTGCATTGGCAAGCCACGTGACACGGGAATGCAGCAAGAAAATCCTTGTGTCCTTAAATAACTCAGACAGCTCTGGTGTACATGTGGGCAGGATCGTCTCCAGGCTTTCAGCAAGGGCTGAGGGAGATAACTCAGATGTTTTTAGCGTACATGTGGGCAGGATAGCCTTCAGGCTTTCGGCAAGGGAAAAATGCTGAATGAGAGAACTTTGGATCAATGTTTGGGGTGTGTGTGAGGTGTGCCAGGGTATAGCCTCGAGTTTCCCAGGCAGGGGGCTGGCACAGGCTCACCCCTGCTCAGCATGCAAAACACTCACCCCTCTGAACCAAGTCCGGTGAGGTCCTGGCCTTCCCATTCTCCCCCTCACCAAACACCCTGCAAAGGAAGAGAAGGAGGATGCATTTTGCTGTTCCTGGGGTAGATGGGAGGATATTCTGCATCCCCCTCCCCAGGAAAAGCCTCTGGTGAGAACAGCAACAGGCACCAGGAGAAACATAATTTCCCATACTAGCCACTGGCTCAGAGCTGATGGCTGCAGCTTTTGCAGCTGAGCCAGGGCTTTACATCAGAGCAATCACATTGGGACCTGTGCCAGAGCCAGTCTTGGGCTCTGGTGAGCAGAGAACAGAAGAGCTGGAGCTATCTCCTTGCACAGCTCCTCTGCACAGGGTCTCCTCATGGGAAGAGCTTTTCTGGCTGCAAGAGGATGCCCATTGCCAGCTCCATGAAAGCAGTGAATGCTTGGCTGGATCTCCAGCAGGTTGGGGGAAATATGAAGGACAGTCTCCCCATGTCAATGCCTTTCTGCCCCATGCTCACCCAAGGATGCTGGAGCCCTCCTGCTTGTTGGTGCCCACCATCATGCACCATGGAAGGCTGCATGGATTCATGTGTGTCAGGGAAAGAATATTTTCAGCCATAAAATGGGAAGGAGAGCAGGAACTCCCCATGGGAGCATGTGGATGAGGGAAGCAGAGGGAGGCAAGCAGAAATAGGCAGTAACAGTCAAGGAAGATGGGATTTTAATGTTTCCTTCCTAAAGCCAAGATGCAAGAACCAGAGGTAATCATTCCTCCACTGTATATTCCTGGTTTTTGTTCTTCTTGCAAAACTTCACTGGCATTTGGGAAAATGGCTGCTGAAGTAACACCAGTAACCACAGAAGCTGCCCTGCATCCTAGAAAAAGGCTTAGTTTATCCATAGATATTAAATCATCATGGGTTTGATAGCTGAGCTCTGCACTGCACTGTGAAAGCTGAGCTTTATCTAGGTCAGTAGTGAGTCCTCTGCTCACAGCAAAGCTGGGAAGGGGGGGAGAATTGTCACCATTGATATTGCATCTCAGCCAGGTGCTGACACATGGATGCTTTGAGGAAGGTGATGCTAAGTAAATGATGCAAAGCGGGTGGCTGTTGAGGGCAGGCATTAGGCAGGCACACAGGCAGATGCAAGCCTACCTGCTGGCAGTGCTGTCTGAACATCTGCCTCCCAGGAAAGGCAGCTACTGACAGAGCAGTGTCACTCTTCCCTCTCTTGACCTCCCACTGCCATGCACACCTGTAATTTTAAGAACGGACACTTCCCCACAGTCCACAAGTCTCTGGGGAAGCCCTCTTACACCTCTGGTTTCTGTAGCAGCCAGGCAGCAGCAGCCACCAGGCAGCAACCACCCCATGCTGCCCCAGCTGGGGGGATGTGGTGGCTGCCACAGGACCAGGATGTGAGTGCTGGGAGGGCACTGCCTCCCTGGGCTGCACTGAGGAGGAGTCTGTGGGATGGAGGAGGATTGACTCCAGTACACTTGGTCACAGCCCCAGCTGAGATGCAGAGCCATCACAAAGCTCTCTCAACTTGCTGGCACACTAATGAGCTCATGTTTTCCTACCCTGTCTGGCCCATTGAGCTTATTTCTATTAAATGCATTTGAGAAAATAAATGTGTCTTCAGAAAAAAAATAATCAGTTCATTAAGAAGCCAGACAGCATCTACAGTCTGAAAAGAGCAGCAAATGGCAGCTGCCAAAAATGGCAATGTTAAATGCAACTGCCAGCTGGGATTTATTAAAAGCTAGTTCTACAGCAGCAGCAGTGAATGGCACATTTTGTACTTGGGTAATCTCCTCTTCCTTTCCCACCTTCACACAGCTTGCTGTCTCTGATGCATCCAGCCCCGCTGTGACCTCCAGGACTGGCAGCCTGGATGTGCTGGGTTTTGATCACTGCCTGAATATTTTGTGTTTTTATCTAGGAAAGCCAGAACCAAAGAAAAGGCTAAAACATTGCTCAGCGGGAGTGAGGTACCACCTTTCTCCCCATGACCCTGCTCTCTGTCTGTGGGGAGAGGTACACCCAGTGCTATCTCTGACAGTGCCTAAGCCACAGCAGGCTTGTCTATGAGAAGAAGCAGGGACCAGATTCATGCCAGCAAACTTGTTTTTTCCCTTGTTCCTACAGAGGATCTGAGCTCTCTTCCACATGTGAATACACTGAAATAGAAGGACAAGGCATATGGGGATGGGAGAAAATGGATAAATACTACTTATATTGGCTCAAAAAGCAAGGCATGTTCATCAGGGACTGCAGCATCCATGTCCTACATTTGGCACAGAGGTTGAGCATCTCCAAAACAAAGTATGAGCTGGTCTGCAGATCCTCTCTGCAGAGGTCTGCTCATGTCTCTCACAACCTACCTGGTCCTTCCTCATCATTGCAGGACAAGGACTGACTTCCTTCTTGGTTCCACATGCCACAGCCCAGTGACACCTCCCACCCCATGAGTTTTCCCACACATACCCACCTCTTTAAGACTGATGCTTGTGGTGTAGATCACATTTGTCCCATTCCTCTTGAAATGCAAGTGAGGTTTGTCCTTGAGGATGAAGATGATGTCAACAGGGATTTTGTCTAGGGTGGCATCCCCTTCCTTGGGAAATGTGATTTTGGTTCCCTCCTTCCAACCCCATTTGATGACAATGTTTAGGATCTTGTCCTCACTCTACGTGGTCTGGCCATAAGCATTGAGCCTTCTGCAAGTGATCTTCATCCTCTTTGTGGAGCCATCATAGATCTCTTCCAGGAACACCTTGAGCTCATGGATGATGGGTGGGTCTTGAACTTTTCTCCATGTGTGCAGGGACTCCTGGTGCTGCCAGTGAACCCCATTAATGCCATTGAAACCAAACTGGCTGAAGGCACTAAAAGGGTTGTCAATGTCATTGATATCCATGCCTTCCTGGTCAAAATCATTGAATACCTGGGAGCGGCTGCTAGTGAAGAATATACCAAAAGAGTTGGAGCCTCCAAAGAAGGATGCGAAAGTGGCATGGAGGTCTCCATGGAAGGTGTAGTGGAAAGTATTCCCTGAGCCACCTGAAGAGCCATCTCCAGTTTTGAGACCTGGAAGAAAAGTGGAAAGATGCGGGCAGACACTGTGCTGGGACTGTACTTTCCACACAGAAGCATGGTCTCTGCTGGCAGCCCTTTCAGCAGCTCCTGGGGTGCAGGTCACCCCCTCCAGCCCAGCGACCTGTGGAGAACATGGTCCAGGAAGGTACCACCTCAACCCATGACACAAAGTCCTTGCCCTACACCCAGCAAGCTCAAAAGCTGTTCAGAATTTGTCCCCACTACCCCGTCTCAGCACTTGCTTGCTTCTCTCCACCCAATTCATAGCCTTTTGATTTAAAACATTTCCTGATCAGCCCATCTCCATTTTTCCCCACAGGCGGGCTCCCTTCTTCTCAAATAGCACTGTCTTTTGGGCTGCACTGATGTCCATGGTCCAGGAGCATCACATCCGGCAGGTGAGGACAGGCTCTGAGTTCAGTGAGCAGCCATGACTCTTGGTGGCAAAGCAGGTTGAGGTCAACAGACCTCCAGGTCAGCACACAGTGGGAGGGATACAGCTCTCTGTTTACAGACTGTATAAAATGTCAGTTAAGTTCAAGGTTTGGATCTTTTGGCAAACATTCACACAGGAAATTCCCCTGCCAGACCTTGGGCAGGGCCTTACACCACTGCAACACCCCCTAGCCCCCAAAGTCCCAAGCAGCCAAGGCTTATGACAAGTGGCCTTCAAAGAAGTCACACATGCTCTGCAAGACTGTTTTTGACCAGAAGTGCTTAGGAAGGGTTAGGCCAAGCCTAGCTCAAGGACATTTTTCAGGGCATGCTGGTGACAGTGAAAGGCTATTTCTGACAGGCTGTCCAGTGTGCCAGCCCCGCCACAGATGGAAAAAGGAGGGAGACAAGCACAAAGCTGGGAAGTTTGGGGATCAGTGATGAAGTTTCTATCCTGAAGTGGGGGACCTTTCACTTCACCTCGCCTGCCCCAGCACATGGGAGCCAAAAGTCCTTTGAAATGCCAATGCACAGGCCATATTGCTCAAAAGAAAAAGGCATCTGATGGGAAATGAAAAGTGTGTGGGGCCACCAACCATGTCTTTCACCCCGTTTCTGCCCCAGCTTTCTGCATATGACCAGTGCTGGTTCCTCAAAACACCAATGGAGTTTGGTTTTACTGGTATTCCCCATCCTGCTGCAAGGAGGGGGCTGCTCTTCCCTCCCTCCTTAACTCGCAATTATTTTAACTGCCTTTAGCCATGAGAATTTTGCCAAATCCCCAGTGAGCCCCTGTCCCTAACAGACTGTACAGCCAGGAGGTTCCACCTTTAATTTGGTGATGCCAGCTCAAGTAGGGTCTGATTTTGGTGGCAACTTCAGGGAAAGGCTAGTTTCCTACTTGAGACAATCTCTTCTCATTTTACACCACAGCAAACCAAGTGGCTTGGGTGCATCCATCGTAGCCCTGACATAACTAATAGGTCGAGAATTAACCCACCTAGTTAATTCTGCTGGTGGCTCGCTAGGGGATGCACCTGCCTGCTGGCCCCACAAAAAGGGCTGCATCTTCCACCCAACAGCCTGTTCCTTCCAGACCCCCTGCTCTTTAAAGCACCCAAGCCCCAGGCTGATTAATATAGATGATATTCAGTGCTGTCCTTGAATGGGCTTGCACTCTTCCATCTTCGACTAATAAGGCCACCTGCAGTGGAGTGGCTCTCCTCTGTGCCAATCCCCAGATAACAGCAGCTACTTGGTTTCAAAGCAAAGGCCTATTACTGAAATTGTGAAAACCTTGTAGGTCAGCCTGTCCTAGGGAA